AAAAGTAATTATTTTTTCTCCTTTCAGATTAAAGAAAAAAGAGTTTAGTTTAGAAGAAATATATACCAACAAGAATTATAAGTCCCCTCCGGCTAACAGGTAGGTACATGTTCTTGGCTGGGAAGTAAATGATTGAGCTCACTCTCCAATCCTTTTGCTTTAGAAAAGGGTTGATGCCTGGAAAGCTCCAGTGAATGGTTTTAGTTCTCAGCACGTGCACTGAGGAGTGTGAATAGTATGAAACGTATAGTCTCCATTTAGTTTGTGGTTTTATTTTACTAAGTACCCTGTCTGCCCCCTCAGATAATCTGAACCGAAATGGAAAAGGCATTTCATGTGGCTTCCTCTAAGCCAGAATTTTACTTAAGTCAACATTTATTCGTTGTCTGTTGGACATAAGGCTGTATCAGGAGGAGTTCTAGAATTTTATCTGACAAATTGTGCTTATATTTGTGCCTTGAAACACCTGGATGAGGGTATTCTCTGAAGCATTGTAGAGTAATAGTAAGAGAGTTAAAGCAATTTTAACTACTTCTTAATTGGGTTCTTTTAAAATGATAGTCCCTCCACTTAACAGTCTAGAACAGAACATGCGTAACTAACAAATTGAGGGTGGGTAGAAAGAAGGCAGCGGCTAAGGAAAGGTTTATGCACAGATAGAAGCAATTATGGAGGATTAGCGGGGACGGGAGTAGGAGAAAGGGAGTAGAGGTTGGCCAGTAGATGGGTTGAGTGGAGAGAAAGGGAGGGGTGCGGTGAGGATTGATAATACTTTGTAAATGATCACATTGTACAACTAGTATTACAACAAAATGTATGTGAGTGATTGAATGGAAACCAATAAAAAATTGTAGTCCATCCTTATCATGGAATACACTGTAAATAGCTACTAAAAAAGTAAGCAAAGTGTGCAGTGTGTTGTGGTTAGTTATTGTGGCTCCTAGTGGCCTGATGGACAACAGAATAAAACTGCCCTTTGTGTCCTCCTCCCTCCAGCCTCTGGACTCAAGCTCATTGCTACATTCACTGTGTTGGGCCATCTCAATGACAGTCTCTCCCCTTCCTCTTACTTAACCTGCACTTCAAATACCCTACAAATAGCGCTGGACTGTGGTATATATAAGGCCATGCATATCCTTTTAGAAAGAAAATGAAAAAGTAGAAAATGCATGCCATGTGTCAGCAAAATTCAGGCAAGATCAGCCATTGAGGTGCTTTTACCTTTTCAAGGCTTATTTTAGAAGACTATCCCAAAAGTATTTAGCATGGGAATCTAAGTAGCTCACAGAACTTAAAATACTGTCTGTCCATTTACAGAGCAGAGCCAGTCTGTGGTTGTAAGTACTCGCTTACTCATTGGCACAGTCACTGTGACAAGGTTAGGGTGATGGAGGATTGGGACAAGGTTCACAGGGTGTCTATGACTCATGGGCACCTGACAACATTTATTCATGAATAAGTGCGCGAATTAAGAAAGGATGCTCACGAGTGGTATTAGGATTGCCTTTGGGGACTAGGTCTGTTTTCTACACTCTCCTGCCCATCTGGAGGTTTTATTAGGATGTGCCTACATTACATACTCTATGTGTATTCTTAAGCAAGAATGAAAACAATTTCAAACCAGAGTCATGCTTGAGAAAAGAAAGAGTTCTTAGCCCAAGACCTTCCTGTGAGTCCCCTGCTGATGGAATGGGCCAGAGTCAAGTGCTCTTGGTGATTGTTTTGTTCTCTGTCCTCAGGTGTCTAGAAACCATCTTTGAGGAACCTAAGGAACGCAATGGCACTCTGATCTCAATCAGTCAGCAGAAGAGGAAGCGAGTTCTGGAATTTCAGGATTTCACGGTCCCTCGGAAAAGGAGGGTTCGTGGGAAAGTCAAGGTGGCAGGCAGCTTTACCAGGGCCCAGAAGGCAGCCCTGCAGAGTCGAGAGCTGGATGCCCTTTTGATACAGAAGCTAATGGAACTGGAGACCTTCTTTGCCAAGGAAGAGGAACAGGAGCAATCATCAGGCTGTTGAGAAGCAGTTCAGCGGAGGGGTCATAATTCTGGGTTGTTGGACCTCCTTGGAAGAGGTTGCCTACGTTTTATCCCATGACCCAAACCACTCAAAATGCACAGTCCCTGGATGCCTGCCTGCTTCAAGGTGCAAACTTTTCAGTGACTGGCGAAGAAAGGTTCTCTGCTTCTGCTGAGTGTGGAACCTCAGGAATGTTCCCTTTCTCCTGGAAGCGATCCCCAGTGACAGCCGGTCTCCTCTGCCCCCTTTCTGCCATCCACGTGCAGGAGACGCAGCAGATCTTATGTAACACTAGGATTCCAAGGACTTCCCGGCATTTGCACGTCCATATGAAAGTTCTGCATTGTTTACGGTGGTGCTAGACCAAGATTAATTAGACACGTGGCTTAGGAAGGTGGACCTGGCTTCTGGGGTCTCTCTGGCCTGTCTCAGTTCAGCAGTTGAGGAAGATGAGCTGATGTGTTTTCTGATTGTCCAAGTCTGTCTGCCCAGAGGCTGTGGCAGGGTGTGTGTGTGTGAGAGAGAGAGAGCGAGAGAGAGAGAGAGAGTGATTTCCTCCCCTCCATGACTGTATATCACTAGTGCCAGAGGAGCCCATCCAGGCGCCCCTTTTGATGTCAGTTGCACTTTTTAATGTTGTGATGTTGATAATTTTCATTTCTTTTATTCTGCTTCCCCTTCCTCCTCTTTTTTTTTTTTTTTTAAATTACTGCTGCATGTTTGGAGCCTTTAAATGTGATTTTAAAAGGATTTTTTTTCTTTTTTAAAAAAGACATTGAAGAGAAAAACAGGACATATCTTAAGAATCTACAATAGTCTTTGACCCAGTTTTTGCTGCATGGTATGAGATGATAGAGACGTTTTCCCACAGATGTGTTTTAAATGATCCCTTCCTCATCTCCGTCTTAAAAAGAAATTCACCAGGTGGGCACCTCTCTCATCTAGGTATTCATCCTTGCCCACGAACGAGGCCTATTTATTTTAATGACATAAGCGATTTCTCTCCAATATTTTTTTTTCCACCTCCAAGAGACATTCAGATTGGGCTGGGCTGTAATGGGTTTCTCCGGAAATAGGGGTGTGTCAGAAGCACACACAGCCCAGCAGCTGTGGGCCCAGCAGCTTGGGCAGAAACAGGGCCTGGCCCTGACTGTTTGCAGCTGTCTGAGCAGCACCTTCCCCGAGGGCAAGAGCAGGGATAAGTGATGACTTCAGTCAAGTGTCACATTTGTAATGTGGGATTCTATAGCCAGCCCTCTCTTGAGGGCATGTTGCTGGACTCTTGAGTTCCTGGGTCATGCCTAGGAGTTCTGTAGAATGCCAGAGTGAACAGTGTCTTCATCCATGCCTCCAGGAGTTTGTGGGCTGAAGAATGCTACGTGGATCCTTTCCTCCTCCATCCCCCCGTGCCCTTGCCCTGCTCCCCGCCTAACCCACCCTCGTGTTTGAACTCTGTCTCTCTCTCTCCTCAAAACAAGTGCTCAGAAAACATTCCTGGACTGGTGGGTGGGAGGCTGATGCCTCAGGACCCAGCCCACCCCGTCTATCCTCCTGGGGAGGCCGTGCTGTGAAGCCACGGTAGGTGGCAAATGTGAGAGCTCCAGGTACTTTTCCTTCAGTCTGTGGCGATGTGCAGTGGTGCCAGTTAGGAATGTTAGCATTTCTCCTAGGTGTCTTTTTTCCCCCCGCCCCATTTGTTGGTGGGTGGGGAGGTGGGTTGGGGTTTCTGTGTGCCTTTCCTTTGCAGGTTGACAGTCTATGCCATGCTGGAGCAAATGACATGAGCTGGAGGAAAAGACAAGTGCCATATCTGTGTTTTAGGCTGGATGCCTGAGACATAGCATTTCAATATCAAAATGTACCCTTGGTTATCTGCAGGAGTTTTAAGGCCACGGCCAGTTGGATCAGGAGAGAGAGAGGCAGGTGTCCATACTGGCTCTGAATGAGGGGCACCCTGTTTTGCCATTTTCCATCCAATTTGTCCAGATGGTATAGACATGACCTGCGGTCGCCTCAGTACCTCTCCCTTCCTGGGACAGGGTTCACAAGCACTAATTGCTTCTCTGTCTTTTCATGCCAGGGAGCAGGATGAGTAAATACGTTATACCCTTGTGCAAACATTTTAGGGAACTTTAGCCCAGCAGTGAGCTCATTACCCATGAGCAAGTCAACAGGTTTCTATGTCCAGCTCCATTTCCAATGTATGGTCAGTTTCCAGCGGGCGGAAGTAGAGGTGAACACAGCTGTGGTATCACCAGCATTGCAGAGGGCAGTTCCAAGTTTGTTCATCACAAGGGTGGTACTTTGAGGAGCAGTGCTTGGGAACCTCGTCGTCTGGGAATGGAGAATCTGTGGAAATGGAGATGCAGGCTCTTAGAAACCCTCCTGGCGCTTTCTTGTGCTGGGAATTGTCGGGAAGAAGCTTCTCTGAGGCCAGCTCTCCCTCTCTCCTCCCTTCTCCAGTCCAACATTGAGTAGGGGGCACTCATTACAGACTTGAAAATCTTTACCTGAACTTGATGCCTCGGGTGATAGCCATGCTGTGCCACGCCTGTCTTAACTTCCAGGGTAGCCATCGACCTAGCCAGCCACGGTGCTGTTAATGGTCCCTCGGTACCAGGCCAGATGCAGTTGCCTGCCCAGCAAGGGGAGATGTCAGCCCCATGCATGCATTTCCATAGCTACAGAGGTTTGATTTTGACTTCTAGTTGATACAGGGACTTCCCATCAGGTGATAACTAACTCAGCTATAGCTCACTTAGAGATTTAGTGTTTGTAATGAGAGAGAGAGGAGAAATCTCAGGTCCAAGCAGGGTTCTGCCCATCAGCTTTGAATGAAACCTTTAACTTTCTTTCCCCCTAGTTTATAGCTAGATTTTGCTTTCAGCATCACCTTCATCCTCTCCTCTTTTTCCCCCCATCAGTATCCTTTCTTGTGTCATTTCTCCATTAGTCTGAATGTACCTCATCACCTGTTAAAAGCATATTGTGTCCACTTACTCTTCCTGACCTTTACCCTGAAGAGCTACCACTGAGGGAGGAGGTACAGTGGAAGGACTTGTAGTGTTTGCCTTACTCAGAGCCTGAAGCTCTCGGAAACTTCATGCTGTGAATCCCAAAATTCACTCCTCCCAGAGCTGTGAAAATCCTGACACTTTGTCCCAAGTTTGCCTGCAAGGGTCTTTTTGGCAGGGCAGGGAGGGGGGGCTGGGGTGGCGCCAGAGCCAACCCCAGCTCAATTCCAAATCCTGCATCTGGCCACCATACCTTCCCCCTGGCTCCTCTCCTTCCTGTTTGGTTGGATGCTGTGTGGAAGGGACAGAACTGCAGCCACAGAGTGAGGTTTTGGTGCAGGCTGATGGGATGGAGGGCCAGCACTCCCATCTTCGGGCTGGGGTTCCAGCTCATCTTACCATGTTCATTAAGACCCGTGAAAGACCAACTTCTGGGCAGTGATACTTCCTTCCATTACCATGGTGGGCAAGTACGCAGTTGGTGCTTTCTTTAATTCCCTTGGAGATTTTGTTTTGCCTTTATTTTTTTTTTCTAGTGAGCTTCCCCCTGATATCATGGAAAGAACCTCTTAAATACCACATTGTGGGTGGCTGTATCCAAAGCATGAATAATTGTCCCGAGGTGTGGAGTACTCTTTCCAAGGGAAGGGCTTGCTCCCAGAATGGAATTTTTAAGCTGACTAGTAAGGCTTCATTTTACTGAGATCAAAGTTTAATATTAACTAGCTACAAATTGAGTAGCAAAAAATATTCTGCTTGTGAAGTAAGGTTTCCCTCCCATCACTCACCATCTACCACCGTGTACTCTCAGATTTGATGCCTGTTAGGTGAATGTTTTTCACAAGTCCCTCTCTGGTGCTGAATTGGATTTGCATTCTTGGTAAGAGGCCTCAACATCTCCTTGGGCTGGTCTGAGCCAGTTTATAGCTGCCTAAAGTGTTTATATATTATCATGGTCAATAGTTCAGTGAAATTTGTACATTTTTTTTTGGTAACATTGGTATACATGATGCCTCTGCAGTTTCTTTTCTGTTTGGTAGTTTGTGACTCTAAACTTCCCATTGTTATGTGTGTTAATTTATGAAAATAAATTTTTTTTCTAAAAAATCCAAACCAACTTTCAAATCACACTCCATGGTACTGTTTGTTTTATTCTGATGCCCTGCTAGTTGAAATTTTGCCCGTCATGTCCTAAAATTCCTTCTGATAGATGTTACATTTACATGTCACCACCAGACACTGTTCCTTCTAAAATGCCCATCATTTTTTTGAGGAGTGCCTTTATTCAGAATATGTGTACAACCTCATGCTTAGAAACTCTTCAGAGCCTACAGTGATGTTTCTGAAATTGCTCCATTGTAGCGAGTTGATATCTTGTGAAAGAATTTCTTATTTGGAGACATGTCATTCAGGTTAAGTCATAGCCAATGAAGGTGGGTAATGTTGCTAAACAAGTATTTCAGATCCTGTTTCTAAATGGTGCACCTTATTTTCTCAAGGCTGAAAAAAAAAAGCCATTACAAATTTGGGTCACACAACACATTTAGAATAAATGCCTTCCAGTTGTACATAAAGTTAGGCTGTAGGTCTTCTGATTCTCAGTTCTTTATTAACAAAACTGGTGAACATTATGGCTGTCCAGCACCACTTATATGTGTTTCACATGACTCAGAATGTCCTTGTCTACATTTCCAGCCTCTGGATTTCTGCGACAAAGCATTTTATCCATGTTGTTTTCTACTTGGCAGGAACCATGCCGGATTAATCAGGAAAGAAATGCTGTCTTAATCAGAAAGAAGAAATAATTGAGAGAAGCAATAACTGAAAAATAAAATGGAAGGACTTAACTCGAAGAAAGAAAGAAGATAGGATTTCAACATAACAGTGGATGAAGAGCAACATAGTGCAAGTTCCAGACTGCTGGGCACAGATTAATGGAATTGTGGGTCATCAAGAGATCTAATACCATGGGCTTCTAGAAAGAGA